TAGTAGTGCAAGGAAGTTCAATAAAATACTGTAAAATTACTGAGATGTTAAAATAGACACTACTTATAGTTTCCATGCCAATGGGCAGTTGCACTCTATGAAGCTTAAGAATAACTGTATTTCGCTGCATGCTGACTGTAGCCCCAATAAATAATTTAACACTTCAAACGCATCTATGATCTGTTAACTGGTTCTTACAAGCCTTATTTCTTCTATGCATGCATCTTATTTAGGGGAAAAGAGTAGAATGGGAATGTAATCTAAATGTTTCCAAATAAAAATTACTATATATGTCTGATTAGATGGCCTTTAAAACTTGTACCTGATATCACACATTTTTTCACAGTTTGAATGAAGATGAATAAAAAGTAGATCCCATTTATTTTACATGAAAATTCATTTATACTAAAACAGATGTTTCCATTGGCCCTAATACAGCTTTGACAAAAATCAATAATGTTAGAGCAGTGACAGTGCTTGGTCATCTTGTAATCACAGCTTGAAGAGGTATAAGCCATAAAATAGCTAAACAGGATCCAGTTCCTCACTCTTCACCTAGAAAAATCAGGAACACCGTCATGCAAGGAACATAGTTCAAGACAAAACTGAAACTTCAGATTGATAAATAATAAAGTGAATCTGCAGAAAAATTAAGAGAGTTTGTGAGATAAGAGCTAAACTGCAATTTGCTCAGAAGAACAAGCAAGGCAACTCAGATGAATTGGTCAATTGGAAATATGGGAAGCATTATTAAAGAAAAATATATTCCCTAAAGAAGGAAACAAGTCTCCCCTAAAGAGTTTAAAAAAGGTTAACAGACGCATGTATTGAAATGGATGTGCTAATGGACATTGATAGCATCTTTTTAAAAGTATGGTATTTTAAACAGAAATAGAACTCCAGCATCATAAATAGATTATATGGTTTCCTACTATATTTTCTCTGAAGGTCTTAAACAAGGGTGGATTATTTCGGATCTCTGTTCTCTTTTCAACTTGACTGAGACTTTTTTTTTATCTGCCCTTTAACAGGGGACAATTGAAAGAGTTTTAAGAAAAAGGCAAGAGATAGATAGGAGTATAGGAGTGAAGTAAAACTGAGAAGAAAGAGAACCGGGAAAATACTTTGAAGAGGTATACAAGAGAACAAAGCTCTTCTCGGGCATGTTTTGTCTTCCTTTTCAAAGTTCCCATTCACATCTTTAGGTCTGCATCACTCAGAAAGTATCCATTACAATTGGATAAGGAGACAACCAAAGTTATACTCACTAGACTTAAATCACCTACTACGGTAATGAATTTTACACAGATACAACACATTTTGAAAATTATTACAATAGGTTATTTGGTGCTCTGTATTTTTCTTTTGTATGATGGAATGTAATAGCCTTTGACTACCCAGAAAAGCTGCACTGGATGATTCTATTCAAATTCAGAGAAAAATGACAGAGAAAAACAATTTCTTTATTTTCATCTCCATGGCATAGACCTCTCCCATATCTTTGGGACAGATTTGTCTTACACTTCCACCCATCTTGCCATAATTATGTCCCTAATGCATTGATCTGTGCAGGGTCAAGAAAACATTCAGGGCTGACTACTCCTAGGCTATCTCCATATGATAGAAGCCCAGCAGAGTTTCAAAAATATTACCTGCCAAAGAACATTTTTGCAATAGGAAACAACTACAATAAAACTATTGAGATTAATTGATTACTCTCCATTTTTACTGAGTTCCGCTTATCTGTAATTTTAAATCCTAATAAGCATTGACAAATTGATATAAATAAAAATATGGAACATTCTTTCGCATCTACATTACATACAACACAGAAAACCAAGTATATACCGGATTAGTAAACTAAATACAGATAAAATAGAACCACTGTTCATTGACAAGTCCATGCATTTTTCCTAGCAAGGTTTTTTAGAAATGGCTTGCCACTGTGTTTTTCCTAGGACGGACAGAAAGAATTGACCCAAAGACACCTAGCTGGTTTCCTGCCGGAAGTAGGACTACAACTCACAGCCTCCTGTTTTCTAGTTTGGTGCCTTTAACCACCATCCAAATTGGTTCTCATTGTTACTCTTGAAAGCATGAGGTACTTCAAGCAGGATAGCCTCAGCATATCTACTGACATAGATCAGAAGATCAAGATTATCTTCTCTGAGATCAACCTAGCTAGTGCAGGAAGAGAAACTAATAAACAGCAGATTGAACTGTACACTAATATGATTCCTACTTTATCCCGAATGCCCACTTTCAGATGCATACAATCAAACTAGTGAGATAAATATGCATCAAATAATACAGATCTGCAATCAAAAGGGTTTTTATGTGCAAAGCTTTTACGTCTCACATGGCTGTGCCGTCATTTTGAATTATTTAGCCCCTCCCTCTGGATACCCCTGAAAGTGATATATAAACACTTTTACTAAACGATTTATCAGTCTCCATAATACAAACCAGATCAGCATATGTACTCATTCATAATCAATTTTGCTACTAATTGATTTGGCACTGAACACAAGTACACTTTCAAGTACCATCACAGTTTAAGTTAGCTGAATTGGGAAAGTCTGAAATGGCCTTTCTCTATAGCATATTCCAACCTGATTATCATAACCCCAAATTCTTAACCAGACTACATTTTGACATCTGCTAATTAGATAGATATTCAATTAAATTATATTTTGAAACCATGAACTTTTTGCTTATGCCTTGAAATTCACTAGATGGAGCTCTAAGGTATCAGCCAACCCTCCCAGGAGACTAGGTTAAACATTTTCAGTGAGATAAGTCAGCCATAAACTCACAAGTGTTCCTTTGTGCATTTTTGCACCAACATAGAGAATAATGCAGAATAGAAAACATTTGAAAAGCAATAAAATAACAATCTATTCTTGTACTACCAAGGAGAGGTTGAAGCATTTGGAATAGTGTCTTGATATATAGACAGAAATATAAATTAATACAAGAAATGAAGAATATTTTCAGTATATATATGTCTAAAATGTTCAATTTAGTTTGGAAATTTTCAATATAATAATACAAGTACTCTTAAAACATTTTTTTCAAGACATCCGTGTAACATAGGGTCATTTTATTCTATTCTATTTTGCCTGTCACAGCTTCTTTCTATTTTAAAAAAATATTTCCCAGCATATTTCTAAAAATAAAGTAGTCATATATTCCAGTGTACAAAGTGCCAAAAAAAGAGGAAAAGAATGAAAAGCAACAGAATGCGTGTCCATTTTGGTAGCATTTAGACCCGGGGCTATTTAAAAGACAAGTGCTTGTTTGAAGTCTCTCTCATTTACTTGACCTAGAATTATTTTATTGATCAACGGTCAATGAAACTAGGCAATTCGATATATCCTCATTAAAATTAATAAGAGTAGTTTGTTAACATGGCAGAAAATTTAAAATATGCTCCCCCTTCCTTTTAGATCTTTCCAAATGTTATGGAAATCTAGTGGCTGGTATTAATGGTAATGACCCAAAGCAAGTGAAAAAGGCAGCAGCTCCAGCTTAGATGAGCCTGAAGGCAAAGCAAAAAAAAAAAAAAAAGAAAGAATAGAAAAAGTTTTCTTTTAGTCTGCGCCATGAGGGGGGAAGGGGAATCCCTCTTAGTGTTGTCAAGGAGATTTGCTGTTGAGTTTCTGGACTGTGCGGCTTCAAAGCCCTCTGCCTTTAGCCTGTAGCCTGAGAGGAGCATTTTTTTTTTTTTTTACAAATCAGGCTGTCACTGAAACCTATGGGGGGGGGGGGGCAGAAGTTGAAGAGCTCTGGAAAATAGGAGTGGTCCAATTCTAAATCCTGTAGAAAGAGACCTACTGGATCTGAATAGGAGTCCTTGATGTGACATTTAGCCTACAAAACCAAGGAAAAGGAACATAGTCTGATTGTGGGAATCTGCTTCAAAAGAAAAAGGCAGGCAGGCATCCCTGGAGTCAGGAGAGGATGGGAGCTCAGTGTGTGTGATTAGGAAAAGGCTCTTGTCCTTCCAAGGTTGGCTTATGAAGGCTTTTTTCATCCCCAAAACCTTTCCCGCACACGGGTGCCCACTTCTGCCACTTCTGGTCCTTCAGCCTCATGTGGCTTGGGGCTTTTCTGTGCCAGGAAAAGCTTCTTTTCTTAATATCAAATATATATGTATGTATGTATGTATGCATGTATGCATGTGTGCATGTATATGTATATGTATATATGTCTATATTTTAAAAAGGGACTACTGAACAAGACTTAGGAAAACAACCCCAGTTGGCAGGAACTGGGAAACTCCCAGCCCAGAAACTGGGTTACTCTTACTATGCTCTCACTGGGTTGTCAAGCGAAGGAAGAACGAACACCTCACAATCTGGAGCTGGAGCTCCAACTGCAGGGTCACACAACCACCATGTTGATTTTTATGACCGCTCTCCTCTCCCCCCCCCCCCATCCCGCAGCTCCGGCAATCAGAATAACAGAATGAAAGGCACCTTGCCTGAGGCTAAAGTCCTCCCTGGTGGGATTAAGGCCACTGAGTTTCATGCTGCATTCAAGAACTTCTCCTCCCCTCCCCTTTCTTGGGGACTGGCATTATTTTTCTTAAACGTGAAGGGGGGGGGAGGCGGCACCTTCCTCCTAACCTAATGATTAAGTCCTTTTCTCTTCAGCTTGTCCCGAGGAAGAGTTAATTGTCTCCCTCTCCGTCTGTGGCATGCAAAGGATTTGCCTCTCCCCCCACTTCAACCAGCGGGGTGCATCTGTCTGCGACTAGCCCTCAAGACTGCAGGGCTCCGTCTTGTTCGGGTGCGCGGAGCGTCCCGTCCCGTCCAGGCCTCCGAACGAGGCGGCATCACAGGGAGAGAGCCCCAGACAGCGGCCGTCCGCTCCTCCCCTCCCCCTCCCCCTCCCCCGAGGAGCGATTGGCATTCCGCCCCTCCGGTCCCGCCCACCGGGCTGTCCCTCTGCGAATCAGCGGGATGCTGTCAGCGCGTCAGTGTCTGTGGCTGCCCTCTGCCAGCCCGGAGCGCCTCTTCTTAGCCAAAGAAACCCCGCAGGTTGCGCGGAATCCCGATCCGGAGCATGGGGACTGGTGACTTTGCGCGGCGCTTGTGTTTGACTCTGGCTCTCCTCCACCTTGACAGGTTGGCCGGCGGCAATGGGGTCCCAGGTAAGAGAAGCACGAGCTGTCCGGAGCTCGCTTTCCTCGCCCTCTCCCCTTCGCCTCCCGCGCACCAGCCCTGGCTTGCCCTGGGAGTCTGGGACCGGAGCGTCGGCTTGCTTTTCTGATCCCGGCTGTTTCCCTGGATGCCACGAAAGGGCGACAGGGGCTTGGTTTTTTCCGGGGGAAGGAGGGTGCAAGGGGGCTGAAAAGTTACGTTGAGCGTTTCCAGGGTGGTTTTCTGTGGGCTTGTGGTCTCTGTCCCCGAAAGTTTGAAAAGTTCATTTTTAGATGCCCTCTGCAAGAAGAGGACAAGGCGACCCTTAGAATGAAATGGTGTTTAGGCCAACCTGTCTAGACAGAAAAGTATAGGAGTTACCCTGCATCAATACAGGCCATTAATTACAGAGTGTATTAACTTCAGTTTATTTTCTGGGTTTCCCAGCCAGCTTTTTCCTTTCAACCCAACTTTCACAGGATTTCCTTCTTATTTTAAAGATATTGTATGTTTAAAGATGTAGTTGCCGCTTTGATTTGGATTTTGAGTTTGGCAGTTAACTCTTAAATGGGATGTGTGAAGCAATGATAATAATAGACTTGATTCTCCCCCTTTTCATTTCAGAGGGGACTGGTAGTTTGTTTAGCCTCTATCTGGGTTTGGGCTGGGGGGAAATGCCCTTCCTTTTCCAAGCAAAATATTGAGAGATCTGCCCACACACGTGAGATTTTAATCCACTGGTTTTGATGTAGAAACATGTGCAAAGTGATTTGAAAAGACAAGCCACCATTACCTCAAGCCTTTCAAGTGAATGGTGACTTTGAAATTCTGCTGAAAGCGGTAATATTATTGAAAGCTGCTTCTCTACCATGGAAGAGGCTGCCTTCCCGCTGGTTTAGGGATTTCTGCTTGATCCACTGGGCTGGACTTGACTTTTGTTCAATTAGTCCCTGCACCAAACTGAGAAAACTTCAATTATTTAACTTCCAAGAGGGTTTAATCAAGATAGGTACTCCATCTTTTAGTCATTCTCATTCTTCCATATTCTGAATAATAAACCTTTTCCATAGACGGTACTAAAATGTGCTTATGAATTTACTTTGGGGAGATTCACCAAGTATCTCAGCTGTCAGCTTTAGCAAAAAAAATCAACAAAATTATATTTGTCTCTTTCTCTAAGAAAAGTAGGTAATTTTCCTAGAAATGAGTAGAGTGGGTTGGCATGTTCAGCTGACACTAGGCATTTCCACATGTGACATGCAGATGTCCTTTGGTTGTTGTGAAGTGTACCTTTTTAAAGGGTGTGCAGAATGTGATCAAAAAGTCAGGATGGTATAATAAAATCTCCACCTGCACAAAATGGACAGAGCTTCAGTGGCACTGTTTCAACCATTGTATTTTCTCCTTCTCCTTGGGTCTAGCTGTCACTTCTGCTGATCCTGATGGGAACAGAGGCCTTTTTGAGTCAAAATTATGAAATGTATGCAGTTGAGACAAAAAAACATTAGGAATTGTGGATCTCCTACCTGAGGACAGAGTAGATAGTGACCTCCCTCTCCCTCCTTCTCCCTCCCCCCCTCTCTTTCTCTCCTTCAAATCCCCAAGCAAATTTACTCATCTTTGTGGAAGCAAGTAAAATAAATAAAAAAGAAAAGAACTGGTGCTATTCCCCCTCCTCCCACACAAACATTTTGATAGAGAAGGACAAACTCTACTCTCCCAACGTATTTGGGCAAAGGAAAGTATTGTCTGTCTCTTTATATGTCTGTACTAATAATCTATGGTTCTCAGATAGTCTATCCAAAATAACGGTTCTGCTCCTCCCTATACCTCATCTCTTTCCCTTTGCAAAATTCTCTGAGGTGCAGCAACAATATCTGGTTATTATTGCTGCCTCTTCACAGCTGCTCACCCTCTCTTCCTTGATGCTTGAAGGAGCCTCATTTTTTTTCATTGGGGCTTTTTTGAAACAATGACTGTGAGGCTTTTAAGCTAACAATCAAAGTAGTTTTCATTCTAGAGCATATTTTCTTGAGGTCTTTATATTTAAGTGGCATAAAATAAATCTACCCAAGGATGGTGCAGGTGTGTTGCATTCCCCCCTCCCTCTCCTTGCCCTGTCCATAAATAGTATTAATCAAACTCCTATTTTTTGTTAGCCAATTGCTAGATATATTATTATTCATGGTTTCTATGAGTCCCAGATGGGCTGCTGGTATTAAGTTTTGAAACAAAATGGCTGAAGGCTCTTCTGACTGAGAGACAAAATTGACATTTTGGCCACAATCAATAGTTGTTTGCCACTTTCTTCCCTAAACACCAAACTGATTCCCATGGAAAATGCCCTTCCAGAAGACCAGATGCTTCTAGCAGTGATTGGCTTTCTCTAAACAAGCCTTTTAAAAAAAAGCAATGTTACAAACCCCAAAAAGAAAATTGATGAATTTTCCTTTAGTTCTTTATTTATTAGATATTGAATAGGTTGACCTTACTTCATTATTTTGTTTTACACAATGTGGGCTTTTTAAAATAAAGTGTTTTTTTTTTAACATGAGCAATTATTTTTCCTGTTGAAAGTAAGGGCTAATGTAAGGTAAATGTAAAATTTTCCATCTATTTTTAACACTTAATGGTGAAAACATTCAGAAGGGTTATTAGTTAAAATACACTGGGGCAATATGTGTTGAAATATTTTACTAATAAAACTATACAGATATGTCCATGAAATTACTAAGGTTAATTTCATTCAGTGGACTCTGCCTTTATTTTTAAAACATTTTCTAGTCCACAAAAACACACAATATGCTATAGAGCAGTGGTTCTCAACCTTTTTAATGCCGCGACCCCCAACCGGTCGTAAGTCGAGGACTACTCAACTGGGTGTAAGTCGAGGACTACTCAACTGGTGCAGCACCGTTTGCAGAATGGGACTTTTGGCGGGCTCAGCAGGGCAGAGACAGCCTGGACAATTCCTATTGGCTTTTGAAAGCCAATAGAATTAGACCCTATTCAAGAGAGTCTAATTCTATTGGCTTTCAAAATCCAATAGAATAAAAGGGAGTAGCACAGCTAAGGAAAATGGGAAAAAATGGCGGACTGCGTTGTTTGGCGACCCCCGTGAAATGGTCATTCGACCCCAAATGGGGTCCCGACCCACAGGTTGAGAACCACTGCTATAGAGCTATGCTGTGCTTTGAATTATAAGACATACTTTACAATATGTAGATGCAGCCCTTATCTGCATTTCTTTAAAATTGCTGTCTCTTTCCCTGAAAGTACATAGCTTCAGCAGCTGTCTTATGGGTTTGGAAAAAGGTACAGCTCTGTAGAGAGTTGCACAGAAGGGTTACACTCAGAGATCCCTGCTCATCCCGAAGCATGGTTTTGTAATAAAATACAAAGTCTTGTACAACACTGCTCCATTAAGTTGCATGGTGTCAACAGGGATTGACATTTGTCAATTTGAAGAGTCATACCAGGGTTAACATTTATTTAGGGCACTTCCTTCCTTTTAGTCTGGCAGGTTTGTAAGAGGGATCAGAATGCAAAGCAAAATGTTTTAAATGGTTAAAAACTATCATCTCGAAATAATTAGTGAAAAAAAAAGATGAAACAATGAAAGAGATTCTAGAGCAGGGGTAGTCAACCTTGGCTCTTTTATGACTCGTGGACTTCAACTCCCAGAATTCCTGAGCCAGCTGGCTCAGGAATTCTGGGAGTTGAAGTCCACGAGTCATAAAAGAGCCAAGGTTGACTACCCCTGTTCTAGAGGACTCTCTTGTGTGAATGAGATGGCGATCACTAAATTCAGTGTAAACAAACAAACAAACAAAAACAATTTCTCTAGTTTAGCTTGGGAAGATGAGCCTGACCTAATACATTATTAAACCACCTGACAATAAAAAAAAAAAAAAGATTGTATGGAAGTCACAAATCACTCATTTCTCCTTATCCATAGAAACAAGGAAAATGAATTTCTTTTTTTAAAGATAGAAAGAAGATTCAAGGATTATCTCCCCCCCCCCAACATTTAACCTTAAAGAACCTCAAATAGAAGGGCTGCAAAAGTCCATCAGCAATTCCAGTGCCAGTAACATTTTAGTTGTTTAGAGAAAGAACTAATTCAGTGACTGAACTCACAAATCACACTAAACCATGATTTGGTTAGTCTTTTTCGTAAACACTGGGTGGGTTTGTACAAGCAAAGTTATTACATTTATGGGTTAACTATGGTTTCAAGCCTCAGTAACTCTTGCTGGGTTAGCAGAAGATGGTCAGTTGAAATTGCATTATTATGATATATAGCTGATTCTTCCAGCACGAAGAAAAAAAATGTTAGTTTATTCTGGGCATCCCTTCTATATTCTTCATTCTAGTCTTTATTATAATAACACCAACATTTACGTTGTTCTTTTAAACTTATCAGATTTACCTGCATAAACTGTGCATGAAATGACAATTCTTTGGAAAAGACATGTAATTCTTTTGGAAATGATATGTTTCTTTGTCAAGGGACAAGAGAGGTAGAGCAGAAACATCATGTATGATAACAGCCCTGTATTTCTCTCCAATGAAGTTTTTTCGCCACAAAGTTTAGATTTCCTAAGAATATGGAAGGAGAGGAAGAGGAGGGTTTTTTTCTTTTTGGGGGGGGGGGGATGAAATTTGCCTTAAAGTCAGGCCCCCCCCCAGGGTCAGTGGTGCCTGTAAAACCAGGAGCAGAGGTTTGGTTTCAGGGTCACTTCTTCCATCTTGACTTTCTGGACAGCCATGAAACAGGAAATTTGATACCTTTGGAATTTTGAGTGCATCTTTTGAACTCTTGTCCTAAAATGGGATCTAGGATGGTTGAAGGTGAAATCCACCAGGGTCTGTCTTGAGCCTAAATTTGATTTCAGAAGTATACGTTCCACTTAAAGCAAAATTAGTTTTTTTGTAATTAAAAGGAACTTTATCATGTTAGGCAGGGCAAGGAGTGTAGGAGAATCACACTAGCATGCTGTCCGCTTTGGGAATGAATAATAAAGAGCAAGAAGCTCAAACAGCCCTCTTAGAAAAATAAGTCTTATTGGGGGAATATATTCCAACAACAGCAACAACAACAACAGAAAAGAATAAAGTGTATAAAACTGCATAAAATGTGACAAATAACAGAAAAGCAGCATTGTTCTTTAACTGCAATCCCTGTAGCGAAAGAACCAGGTTAATTTATTTATTTATGCTCTGCTTATTGCTTGCAGAGCCTGGAGGTGTTGTGATTCTCGCTGTGCAGAAATGTAATCTTATGTAACCCTTGGCAATACAGCTGAATGATCTCCGCTCCCTATATCTGCATACATTTAGAAACCCCGGGGAAGATGAACACGAGAGGTTCTTTTTATGGACTATTTTGACCATATGGCTAGAAAATAGGATTTTCATGTGGTCACAAATATGTCTGCTGTGAGTTGCCACCAGAGACCTAGGTTAAGAACAATGGCTCTTTGGAGGGCACTAATGCACACAGCTTGAAGCTATTAAAAGTGGCTTTCATACAGTGCTATCAATATATATCTGTATATAATGCTGCTACCTGCTATGAGAAAAGATAAAATCAATTATACCTGTAGACTTCCAGGACTCATCCCAGATATTTTCCTGGGAGGAATATGACAGTGATTGGCATCCTTTCAGGAAGATTTTTTTAAACTTCCCAGTCTATACCACTACCCAGGATTTCCTGATGGCACTCCATCCAAATACTAACAAGATCTAATCCTCTTGAAGAGGTATATTTCAGTAATACATCTGAGCCAGATGAAGAAATTTCATCCTCTCTGTCCAATGTATCTCCATATAGTGCACTCAGGAAAATAATGTTGTTTTCCCTGCAGTGATAGAAAGGGACTCTCACTTTTATGCTGTCTACATTTTACACTCTCTGTTGTGGAAATATAGCATAAATGCTAATTGCTGTTATCTTTCCAAAACAAGAATGGGAAAAAAAATCATGAATATTTCAAACAATTCCTACCCACACACACACATAGAAAACAAAAAGCTGAGACCTGGAGGAAAGGCAATATAATCAAAACGTTTCTTGCTTTTATGTGATAAACTTTTGAAGTCAGAAAAAAATAACTACCGTAGGTGCTAAAAGTCAAAGCCTTCTCTTACAGTCTTATTTATTTCCAGCTCAGGAAACTGCCATTTTCTTGGTGGGTCAGCTGGCATCAGAGAGAGTGACCGGCCCAAAGTCCCCTATGTGTTTCTGTGTCAAAGGGAGGATTTTAAGCTGGATCTGCCCAATTATAGTCCAACACTTGAACCAGTACACCTCACCGGCCCTTTTGTGATTGGACATTTACCTTCAAATATAAAATTTGCTGAAAGAGAATTTACATTGGATGGTGCTTCTGGCATTTGCATCTCTCAAAATATACTGTTTAAGAAATTATCTCACATTTGGCATCATTTCTAAAGGCCAAACTATTAAAAGACAGAAGATGTCAGTTTCTCTCGATTAGGAACGAAGGACAAAGCTTACGCGATGAAGCTCTGGCTGACATAGAGTTGGGCATGATTAACACTTGATCATGGGAGACCTCTAAGAAATCCAAAGGCTGTAAGTTAGACCGTGATGAAGTAACATCTGAGAGGGAGTTAAATAATGGTTGCAGGAAAACTAGACAATCTTCTCTTTGGGGTAACCAGAAGTGGCCATGACAGTATGATCAAAGCTCTGTCTTTTGTGTGTGTGTGTGTGCGTGTGTGTGTGTGTGGCTTTGGTTGTATCATGCCATCATTTGGACTTTTTTTTTTTTACCACTCCTTTGCTTCTATCTTTTGTATCACTCTGGGAGATGGATTGAGATGCCAAGTTGAGGGACATATTTGGGATGTCTTTCCTAAATTAAGGAATTTTGTCTGATAGCTATGGAAGATCTACGGCAAACATTAGGTTAGATTTGGTTTTGCCTGGGATGACCCTACTCAGTTACGTTGTTTCACTAGTTCTCCTTAAGATTGTCGTGAAATCCCTTACTATTTTTTACTTTCTTTAAAAAAAATGTTTTGTTGCACAGATGCTGATGAATGTACAGAAGGGACAGATGACTGCCACATTGATGCAATTTGTCAGAACACACCTAAATCATTCAAATGTATTTGCAAGCCAGGTTATAAGGGAGAAGGAAAACAGTGTGAAGGTAAGATTATCTGCTCTTCTACTTTGGCCTCTATCTCCTCTGAAAAGATGCTGGCTGATGCTAGCTAGCCTCTGGTTAATCTCAGATTGTGATGGTTTGTTAGGAAGAATGTTCTGCTGCTCTTGATCATTGTTGAGCACTTGAACTGTACTGCCCGCTTACCATGAGCTTGCTTTAATGCAGGAAGCTAAATTTAGAGATTCTCTTTTATTTAAGCATGACTTCCTGGTGCCTGCTATGGCTCTCTCTATACCATATTTTGGGATGTGTTTGGCGGCATTTGGACCTCAAAATATTCAAAGGAAAAGAAAAGTGCCTTTTCTATATATGTCTTGCCCTGTTTTGAAACTGAATTTGGAATGGGCTGCAAATGGAAGTATCTTGTTTTTCCTAGTGCCCTCTCTGTCAGCCTGTGGATAGCAAAGGTGCTGCAGACATTGTAGAATAATAATCATAATCATAATCATAATAATAATAGTAGACAAATTTGCTATTAGTCAATTGCAAAAGGTGGCCTTATTAGGAACTGTTTCCACCCTGTGACGATATCTGTAATACCATCAAACATCCACATCTGCCTATCCCAAGTCCTGGGTAAGGACTCGATAGGTAGACAAAATGCCAAATCCAGTCTGAACATCTGGCTGACTGTGCGATGATCCATAATATTATTATTAATAATAATGATAATAAAAACAACAACAATAATATAACAACAACAACAACTTTATTGTCACTTTGAATGTACACCAATCAGCATACATCAAAATGAAATTTCGTTGCATACAGTTGCATATAGCCATGTTAGTCTGTGGTAGCCAAAAATCAGAAGAGGCAACTCATGAAAACCTATGCCTTTGAATAAAATTACAATTATTCCTTGGGTTACAATGGAATTTCCATTGCTAAGTGATGTGGTCCTAAAGCACAACCTCACGTGCCTGCATTAGTTAGCAACATCAATCCCAGCAGTTCCGGTTATTGTCAAAGCCCCAGGACCCTGCATGTTGCTAAGTGGGAAGAGGTGGGAGTCCCAGGCAAGCAGACCAAATGGGTGAGAGTTGTAGGTAGGAGTTGCTATGGAGCATAGGCTGTGAGTAGATGCAGTAGGGTAGGTAGGCAAAAAAAAGCAGCAGGAGTAATTCCTGCTGGTTTTCCCATTGATTTGCTTGTGGGAAGCTGGGAGGGAATGTTGCAAAAGGGGATCATGTAATTTGTCCGAGATGGTATAGGGCAGTGATGGCGAACCTTTTAGAGATCGAGTGCCCAAACTGCAACCCAAAACCCACTTACGCATTGTTGGGTGCCGGGTGGGTGTGGTCTATTGGCTGGGTGTGGCCAATTGGATGGGCATGGCTGCGGTGGTAATGGCAGACTGGGTGGGACTAAAAAGTTTAATCAATCAATTCCAACTTTGCAAGATCTTTTTTTTTCCGCGAGAAATTGAAATTGACTGATTGATTGAACCTTTTTTTTTTTTTGCCACGTGGCAGAGGCCTAAAGCGAAAAAGTTTTATAAAACCTAGCTGAGGGCCTAGGAATGGGGTGATGGTGCACATGCCCACAGAGTTGCTGTTCAAACTTCTCAACCTTAACCCTAACCTGTAAACATAGCAAAATTATTTAAATTTTAAAAAATGATATTTCACATATTATCTAATGTTATGTAAGATATTACCATGGGACATAAAATATATATTTAGTCTGTATTTTCCCAGAACATTGAAAACAGTGAAATTTTTCTTAATTGCAATTCTTTTAAACTGTGATAAATCACTGAAATTCCATCTAGCAAACAGCAATTATTCACCTTACCTTCAAGAGTTTTGTTGCAGTGTTTGATGTGAAATGAGTGCCCAGGACTTGTCTTGATCCCAAGTAGGCATGCCGAAGTACGCTTTTTAGGTCTTGCGCATCTTAACAGACACTTTCACAGAATATTTTCTCACTCTTGTCTGTCCACACACATAGCAAAATACATCTGCTGGGTGCAAGCAACCTCTTGTATAAATTAAATATTGCTATTCACTATTCTCTTACTCAGCAGTTAGACAAAAAATGTTGGTTTAAGGCACTTGTATTTTTTATATTTCTATGGATACTACAGGATAGTCACAGAATGTGCTAGAATGTTCTAAAAGATTCCAGAAAGTTCTATAAAACTCTAACCAATTCTAGAAACTTCTGGACAGTTCTCACAGTTCCAGAATATTCTGGACGTCTACTCAGCATTTTATGTGAATTGAGAATGTTCTTGAAAACAGATAAATTCCAAAATATCATTCTCCTGACCTCAGAGGTAAAGTTTTTGTGGAACAATAGCTAGTTTCTATTTATTTTAGACATAAGAGATTAGGAAAACACACTTTGTATCCAGAAACAAAAATTGAAATTTGTTACATGGTGTTATCCTTTTTCTCTATGTTTCCCTCTAGTCAACTTTCCAAGTCCTTTGTTATCACCTGTTTATTATCCAATACAGAAAACCTTCTCAAAGGAGGATTTAGACATAAACATAGAATCATAGGGCTGGAAGAAACCTTGGGGGTCTTAAATGTTTGGAATTCTAATCTTAATTTCTTTGAACATACCCTTTTGCTATCCTTTAGAGAGCTAAGCTGCTTCAGAGTCATTTTATCCAGTGGTTTAGTACTTGCTAATTCTGTTTGTTTTGAAATACATTGCCCCAAACCAAATTTGTGCAAACAGGTGATGGTCAATTTCATTCACTTAGTGTATTGTTTTAAAGTGTATATGAAAAAAATATAAAAGGTAAGCAGTATGTAGACAGGATTATAGATCAAACAGATTTGCTCAGATAATTCAAATGGCCTAAAATTTCATGCTGAAAAGATACTTAAGGAATGTTATGTGTATTCACATATGTAAAAAGATAGATGAGCCTTTAGTTGTGTGAGCATAGCTGCCATATTGGCTTTTTGACCCTCTTGTGAAACTCCTACTTAATAGAACAGGAATAAATTTACATAATGCCCTTTCAAAGATTACACCCATTTCTGACACTAACTTATTTAATTAGACATTAATACTATATATTAGTGTCTAATTAAATAGCTTATCAGAAATGGGTGTAGTCTTTTTAAAGGCATTGTGTAAATTTATTTTCACACATTTATTTAAATTTATTTACACAATGGCTTCTAATCTAACATAACTCACTGCAGTCATTATCTCTGATCCATCCAGGATCAAATATCCTCAACTGATTTTTAATAATGAAAATTTTCCTTAAAATTTTAAGTAGGATCTTTCCATAAAATTGCATTTCATTCTCCCAAAGTCATAGATCTCTGTTGTAAATATGCTCCATAGACTTTGTTGTTCAAGGAATCTTTCTACAAATTGAAACACAACCTCTTTTGGCAGTTGCCTTCTTGATGAATATAATAAGTCTATTCCACAGTCATCATTAGTTTTCTTAAGAAAGTTCAGTTCACCACTGATCCATTCTGTCATTTCTGAGCCTTTTAAATTCATGTTCCTTTCCGCTTTCTCCAACCAGCGTGCAATTCTCAAAGAAAGCTCCTTCTCCTTCAATTCTGTCAGCAACAAATTGACTTTCAATCCACCTAATTGCAAGTCTGATTTAGATGCTGTTGTCTGTAGCTGAGTGTTATCCTTAAGTTGATTTATAACTGTTGTCAATTCATCAAACCTTTTATTCTAAATGTTCTTTTAGAGCTTTTAAACTGAAAAGCATTTTTTTTAAAGGCTTCCAAGAAGGTTTTGACATTTACATTAATCTGGCTCTTGTTTTCTTTTGTATCTCTTTTTGTGAGCATTATAAATGATATACGATATATAATGTACAGAATCCTTAATCTATTGTTGTTTTCATTTTTAGTATAGTCTAATTCTCTTTTAATTGCTGGACTTTTGCAGTGAAATGTAGGTAATTCCTCTTAAGGACAAAAGAAGTAGATATACCATAATAAAATGACCGCAGAAAAAATTAAGGTAATATTTCCCACAATAGAGAATGAGTAGAAAAAAAGAAAAGTTCCTATTTCTTTAAGAAGAAAGAAAAAGACCAAAAATATACACAAAAGCAAAACAAAGCAACATAGTTCCCTAAAAAAACTAGTAAAATACAAAATCCTTGCAGTAGAAATCTGATATGAATGTAAATTAGATCAGATCAATTTCATTGGCAAGGGGAAAGTTTTTAACACCTTGACTTCCACGCGGCAAAATGTGAAGTGTTTCACAACTCCAAGATAAATTGATTAAAAAAGGTAAAAAATTCACATTTATAACCTAGCAAGAGTATAAAATAAGCCAACATTCAACCAGATGAATGACAGTTAAAGAGGTAAACAAAAAACAAAAGAAAAATTCAAAATGCGATGTTAAAACCTAAGGTGTGCCTAAAAATAAAACATTAGCAGGAAAAAATGGAGACCCAAAGCTCCAATCGCTCTTACCAAGAATTACACTTGTCAATCCAAGGGTCATCTTGGGTCATTCCTAGTTGCTGCCATTCAAATCTGGGAAGCAAAATGCCAAAGAACTGGCTTTAGTGACAAAATCAGTTGTTTGTTGGTAGGAGAAAAAAAAATCGCCTCACACTCAGTGCATCATTTTTGGGAAGACTCCTGGTGTTGATTTTTGAAACCTCCAAGTGGAGGTTTCCTTTCTAGTTGTTAAGATGGGTAGGAGTGGTTTCAATATAGACAATTATTGGATAGATGGAAGATGGATTGTAACATGGGCTGGCTTAGAGAAGATGAAAATCTTTTTAAACAAGTAAAGGATCAAAGACAAACTCACATTAAGAGGGTTTATGGGGTTCTAGTGGAATTGGATTCAGAATCTGAATTAATTAAAGACTGTATGATTAAATGGGCACAACATTTTGGTGAACCAATTCCACTGGATACCTGGGAAATTATCTGGGTGAGGAATGTTAAATTTACACAAGCCCAGAACTTAAGGGAGAATTTTTATAAAATGTTTTATAGATGGCACCTTGATCCACA